TGATTATTTGTACTTTTGTGTGAAGTATTCCTTTTTATACAGGGATCACATTTTTCATAACAAAGTACTATAATGCGTTGATAATAAATGTTCAAACATTAAAAAATGAGTGAAGTGTTACAAAGATCAGAAGGCTTTATGAAGTTAATTTGATGCTTTGATGAAATTAGTCACTGATGATGTTGTGTTTGTTATAAAGTGCAGCTCTTGGCACCATGCTGGACCCTGAGACACCAGAAAAAGGCTTCTGTGGACCCCTCCTCCATGAAAGCCCCCTCTCTGCAGGTACCACAGGCTTCTAGAATAGGAGGGCATAGTGATCATCAGCTTTCAGGCCTATGAGTGAGGCTTATTCATGCTCTCATTTCAAAATGAAACAAATAGATTCAGACATTCTAGAACTTTCTCTCTGGACATCCCCCATGGGGTAGTCACCCCACTTGGAGAATACCTGCACAAGACTCTTTCCAGTTAACCATAATAACTTGGTTTTCTAACCCTCTCTCTTTTATTTTAGATTTTATTTTTTAATGAGCTTACAACTCAGTAGGCTTCTTTATGGAATCTTCATATATAATTTTGGCTGATCCCTTCCTCTCCCTCCTTAAAGTTAAGTATCTACAGATTCACCTCCACATGCCTGTCCCCTTGGAAGGGCTGGTGAGGATGGCTCCTGGAGGCCTGGCAAGCTGATCCCCTTCCCCAACCAAACACTACCTACTGTCCTGTGATGAGAACAAAAAGATGCTAAAACACCTATGATTTCCATTTATTGAACTATATTTTGGTACCAGCCACTATGCACACATCAAGGCAGTCCATTTTTGGTAGGAAAGGAATTTGCTGCAAAGTGCCTGGTGGCCCAGCTGAGGCTAAGCCTCAGGGCTCTGGCCATGCTCAGTACCCTTTCCATTACATGTTTATAGAACCAAACCCAGCTGCTTCATCCTAAGAACAGGAGAAGCAGTTCACCTTCCCTGCCCCTTTGTTCTCTGTGATACGGAAGTCAACTAGACTTCAGAGTGGTTGACTTGATGACTTATATGAGTGTGATGAACAGCATACTGGTTACTATTTTAAAAAAAAATTACCAAGCTGAACAAATCAAGCCCAACTGAGAAATTACAACTGGAAACACATTACTTTAGCCAATGCAAAGTGTGGCTTTTAAAATCCTGGGTGAGGTAACCCAGACTGAGGAAGTCAAATATGGTGTATATTTGCTTATATGTTCTATTAGTCGTTAAGTCAGTGATAACCCGAGCTACAATCCACAGAACCACAGAAGTCAGGTGTAGAGTAAGGGGTTGGGGGAGACAGAGATCTCTCTAGGAAAGGTAAATAGATTAAATAGTTATGGACGGAGGTGACTAGAAGAGGAGAATCAAGTGGGAGGGGCCTGAGGGAGGAAATCTGGGGAGAGACAACGAAAATTAAGTGGCATTTGGGGGGTTGTATGGAAACCTAATAGAGTAGAAGCTTCCTAAAATATACACATATCTGAAGGAGATCTAAATGAAGTCACCAAATAATGGGGGAGACAGAGCCTCAACTGGCCAACCTATTGTCACCAAATGAAGCCCCCAGTACTGGGACTGGGTTACAGAGAATTGAGTTGTTGGCCAAAAAGGTCCTCTGTATCTCCTCTTCTCTCTTTTAACTGTACAGTCCTCTGATTATATATTATAGCTTCTGGTTTAGTGTCTTTATGGGATTTCTGAGAGTGCAAAAGGAGTGTGTCTCTGCATCTGTACCTGTTTCTTGCACCATTTGGGGGTTGGTTGTTCCCAAACAACCCAGGATGTTGCTAAGACTATATATTGCTCTTGACAAGCTCAAAGCAAGGCCCCATTGCTCAAGACAACACCTACACAACTCTCCGAACATGGAGAAGTTGAACTGAACCTACATGGAGCCTTCACCCCTTCATCCTAGTGTCTTTGGTACAAGAAGGTCCTCTGCATTCTATCAAAGAAGAAACATAAGCACCAACCCAGCCACAAACTCTTTGATGTACAGTGCTGTCCTGCCTGCAAGAAATGCCAGTGCAGTGGTGGCACAGAGCTTGTGGGGGTAACCAACCAACATCAGATCTGATTTAAGGCCCACTCCACGAAGTGGAACCCATACCCGACACTGCTTGAGTGATCAAAAACCTGAGACTAGACAGGGAACTAGGGCAAAACAGAAATACTACTGTCCTAAAAACAAAACAAGGAAACAAAAACAACTGATGTAGCGATAAAATGATTCCTAATGACATTCTGCTATACTCAAAGATCAGTGCCTTGCTCAGCCATCATCTGAGAAGCTTCCTCCTACAGCAGATGGGAACAAATGTAGAGAATCACAGACAGTCAATGTGTAGAGAGTGATAGACCTTGTAATACTGAGCCTTAAATGGGATGGTCTCCATCGATTCCCTCCCCTTAGGGCTCAGGGGAACCTGGAGAAGAGGAGGTGGAATGTGTGAGAGCCAGAGGGAATAGAGAACACCAAAAAACAAAACAAAACAAACAAAACAAAACACAAGTCCCTCTAAATCAACATGATAATCACACACATGAACTCACAGAGACTTGAGGCAGCATGCACAGGATCTGTATGGGTCTGCCCCAGATGGGGTCCTAGAGCTGAAAGGAGAAGTGGACACATGTCTCCATCCTTAACCCAGAAGCCATCTCTAATTTGAAAATGAAAATTTCGTTTTCTCCAACCGAGTCTTACTGGGAGAACCAACGACTTCTAAGGTTGCATGCCCAACAATAGATGGCCAACAGAAGACAAACACAGGAGATTTCTTGTTTCCTATTGTTGTGTCAGGGATTTTCATTTCTTAAAAACATTTTATCTTCATTTTTATTTGTACTTTATCTCTCTGTATCTCCTCTTCTCTCTTTTAACTGTACAGTCCTCTGAGTATATATTATAGCTTCTGGTTTAGTGTCTTTATGGGATTTCTGAGAGTGCAAAAAGAGTGTGTCTCTGCATCTGTACCTGTTTCTTGTACCATTTGGGGGGCTATTTTCCTCCTATTCCAATATGTTCATATGTGTTTTATCATGTCAAAATATACTGTATATCATTTTATTATTGTCTCTTAGGAGCCTGTTGGATTTCTAATAGACAGAAAGGGGTGGATCTAGATGGGAGGGAAGATGGGGAGGTACTGGGAAAAGTAGAGGGAGGGAAACTGTAATCAGATATGTTATTCAAGAAAAAAATCTATTTTCAATAAAAGGAAAAATAAAATTTAATTTTTCAGTGAGCTAAATTGTGGTGATATATTGTGTATCCTAATAAAATTTGCATGAAGATCAGAGAATAGAACAAGCTACTAGATTAAACATAGAAGCCAGGCAGTGGTGGCACACACCTTTAATCCTAGCACTCCGGAGGCAGAGATCTATCTGGATCTCTGTGAGTTCAAAGCCACCCTGGACTACTTGAGATTGACTCAGTCTAGAAGAGAAAACAGAGCCAGATATTGGTGGCACACACCTTTAATCCCAGTACTGGGAAGCACACACGCCTTTAATCCCAGGAAGTGATGGCTGGGCAGAGAAAATATGTAAAGTGTGAGGTGACAGGAACTAAAGGCTTTTCAGCAGAAGCATCCCTTTCAGCTAGAAGCTTTTTGGCTAGGCTCTTTGGGCTGAAGCCTTTCGGCTGAGAGGACCCTTTTTGCTCAGAATTCAGAAGACATTCAAACAGAGGATTCATGGAATTGGCGAGGTGAGATGTGGCAGTGGCTTGTTCCTTTGTCTCTCTGATCTTTCAGCATTTACCCCAATATCTGGTACCAGGTTTTTACTATAAGACCTTTAGAAATTTGAGCAACACCAAATCATACCTGGGTAATACATGCTGAAAATCTAAATGTGCTGTAGAATTTCAGAGATGTGTGTGTCAAAAGGAAAATACGTCTGGATGTGACAGTTTTGTCATGAGAAAGCTAATGAGTGTATTCTCAACTATCCATATTTTGGTGCCAAGTTAGCTCAATTTTAATTCCAACAATGACATAAGATTAGGTTGCTCTTCATTTGATTACAGAAAGCAGAGAATTAAAAACTCAGATTTAAGAAGATCTAACATAGCCTGCAGGCTGTTTACAGAATGTGTACAACTCAATTGAGCCAGCGAACTCCAAAAAAGAAAAGGCAGATTGAGTGTGCTTTCTGCATCACATCCCCTGCTTATCCGGAGCTGGTGACATATCATTCTTCTACAAGGACAGTTTCTGCTCCTGAGAATTACATGATACCTTCTATGCTGAGATTTTGTGTGCTCAAAGTCCCTTCCAGAGACTGTTACACCTTCATCTTCTCCTTTGGGATGCTCAGCTGTTTTCATAGTAATATTCATCAACCCCCTCAGAGGCTGTTATAGTTCGAATTTGAAATGTCCCCACACGCTCAGGTTGTTAACTATTATTTCCCAGGTGGTGGCACTGATTCAGGAGTCTGTGCAACTTTTAGGATGTGGGGTCTTGCTGGGAGCACCAAGGGGTGAACTCTGAAGGTACAACCCAGCCCAGCATCCAGCCTCCCTCTCTGCTCCCTGGCCCACCACTATGTGAACAGCCTCTCTCCACACTCCTGCCACCATGGACTGAGCCCCTGCTGTGCCTTTCCTGCAGGGAAAGACTGAAACCACCAGTCAAAGCTAATCTTCCTTCCCTCTGCTGTTTCTGGATGCCAGGTATCTTGGTCAGAGCAACAGGAAAGTCCCTAGTACAGATGTGTCCAGAGATAAACTGTTTCATTATTTGCAGAACCAAATGTTGTCATGAATCTATTAATTTATTGAACTTTCTGTCCTGGGAAGGATTAGGTATTCCATCAGAACCCATTTTTCCCATCCCCTACATCAAGATGTGGTTCTCATTTAGGAGAGATAAAATCAAAAGGTCATGCATTTCAGCTTGACTTTTATTGATAAGAAATACCTTGCAAATATAAAAAGATATGTTTCTTATTTATATGGCATCTTTTTTTTAAAATCTTTTGTGATTAAAATTTGTAACTGTTTATGGAAAGGAGTTTATGAATTGTAAGGTTCCCATCCTCTGTCAAAGATGAATCGATTGATCATGTCAAAAGATCTCAGCGGCTGGTCATAGGGCAAAATGTGTCCTCCACCTCGAACAATTACCTTGATGAACAAAGACAAAGAAAACAGAGAAGCACATGTTATCAATACATGGACAACATAAACTCAGATTAAACACCACACACACACACACACACACACACACACACACACACACACACACACACACACGATGACTCAAATGGAATAAAAAGCTTGGCCTCTCTAACTTCATGTCATGGCTGCCCTTAACCTTTGAATCAAACCCTGTCCAGCTCAGCATCTAGATATCCTAACCATTTAGGAAATGTTTGGGTCACTACTGTTTAGTTGAGGGTTAAATTGCCTGTGGCCCATTGCAGCAGGTAGGTATTTCTTCTCTTGCTTTCCCAGCAGCACAAGCACCATGGTTTGACTGTCCAACAAGGAGAGAAATGCTTCCTCTTTGGTTCATTGTGAGTCGTGTGGAGGCTTACTGGATTCCTGCATATGGAATACTTAGCACAGGTGCCTGACTATACAATAAATGTTAGTCCTGTAGAGGTCTTGGGTTCACTCTAAGTGTCACAAAATGAATAAACATTTATTTGTTGTTAACAACACTTGTCCAATAATGATCTGTATCAAAACCCTGGGATTGGTATTGGAGAGATGGCTCAGTAGTTACATGGGCTTGAAGGATGAAGGATGAATTATGAAGGATGGCGTGAAGACCCTAGCACAAACCTAAGATGCCAGGCCACAGAGTGGAAGAGGAGGACATTGCTCCCTTCTTCTGACTGCTTCATGTGTTCCTGCACACACACATACACACACACACACACACACACACACACACACACACACACACACACACACACATACACACACACAAATAAGTAAATTGATTTTCAAGGGCCCCTAGAGTCAAAACATCCACTTTAACCTGGTTACCCTGGGACACTCGGTGTTCTGACCGTCATAGGAACAATCTGGGTTTAAAACAGTTGTTTGAGGAGTGGTCTCCTCACTTGGATGTGCATAAAAATATTTGTGTTTTCCTATTCTGAGGGTCCATGGAAGGTCTTGAGAATCTGCATCGCCAGCAATTCCAAAGTGTGACTGGAGCGGTCCATCCAAGGACTACCTGCTGTGATCTGCACCAGTACTTTCTCTGTTCTGCAACGAAGCAGGGGGTCTTCTATTGACGCCAAGACAATACAAGTTCAGTGCAATTCCATCCTTCCCGGGCATCTCTTCTCCTCCCATCTGCTCACATACCCTTGAGCCTGGGCACCCTCCACATCCTCCATCATTCAGTGGTGAGGAGAACAAGGGAGTTATTTAATCATTTTACTCTGTGATGTATCTCACCTTGGTCTACTTGTGAGCTGCCATATGGAATGAGCCAATGACATGGGACCCAGCATCCTTCACACTGGGAAGATAAGCTTCTATAGGCACAAGATTGTTTCCCATGGCTCCAAGTTCCCAAGCTGATCCACATACAGAGTTTTACCAACATCAACCTCAAAAATAAATTTATGAGTGCTGAAAAATAACACATTCGGGTTTTTTTTATAGCTAAGTCTCACGACTCACAAATCAAGGATGCAAGCCACTCAGCAGCTTTCAGAGGTGTGCGACAAAATGTGGCAGGGTTGTGATTACATATGTAAATGTGACAAGATTAATCTCAAGGCTCCCCAGATGGAAATAGCCTCATCCCCAGAAATGATGTATTTTGGGAGCTTCTAAGCTCATGCGTTCCAGATGTTCTGGAGGGTCGTAAGTGTGCCATGAATTTTAAAAGGGTTATACAAAGACTTAGAGCTTCATTCCAATTTAGTTTTTAGTAAATGATTCGATTCTCCCTGGATCTAGAGGTGTGGATCTAGCAGGAAAGGTTTCCCAGTTGGGGCTTTTTTAGCTGCCAGAACACAGGGAAACTCACAATGGCCTTATGGTACAGACATGTCAGGGCTGACTTCTCAGGGGTCTTTGGGGAAAAGATTTCTGGACAGTGGGTGGGCAGGGGTGCATGGATGCTTGACTATACTGCCAAGGAGGAATCTGCTCCTGCATGTACAGGAAATAACAGGCATGCACCACTTCTGTATGCAGCCCCACTCCCTGAGTAGTAGAGTGACACTGAGGAGAGCTGACCGGGCAAGCAACCACAGGATACACACCCACTGGGATGTGCTAGGGTGAACAGATTAGATTTGGGGTTTATTTTTAATTGCAGTAAAATACACTTAACATAAAGTTAGTGCAACCCAGTCACATTTAGTGTGTCCTCTGACATCAATAGGTAGCTGTGGATTTTTTTCACTGTCCCAACAGAAACCACAGCTGATATTCTGGCTGACCAGTCCTCATTTCTCCACAGTCTCTGGCAACCTAAGCAACTTCAGGCCTCTGTGGATCTGCCTAGTCTGGGCAGAACCTAAAGGGTTGTAAGTAGGGAATGACATGCTCAGATTTCTACTATTAAAATTACCTAATATCTAATGAGGAATGCTGTGGAATAATCCTTCTGTACACTGTGAAGATGTGTTGCTCTTATTGTTAAAAAAAAGAGCTGCCTTGCCAATAGCTAGGCAGGTAGAGGTTAGTTAGGACTTTCGGACAAAAAGAGAGCATGGGAAAGAAGGGGGTAGAGTTGCCAGCCAGATGCAGTGGAAGCAGGAGAAGAACATGCTGTGCTGAAAAAAGATACCACCATGTGGTAGAGCATAGATAAGAAATATGGGTTAATTTAAGATGTAAGAGTTAGTTAGTAACAAGCCTAAGCTATTGGCCAAATATTTATAATTAACAACAAGTCTCCATGTGGTTATTTGGGAGCTGGATGGCAGGACAGAGCTGACTGGTGGGAGAGAAAACTCTGCCTACAGAGGAGGCTTCAGAAGGGAATGATACCAGGACCATCAGCTTAGAAAAAGGATGGTGTAGGTTCATAGGGAAGAGTGGGAATGGGAAGGAGGTGGTGGTGCCAGAGCTGAACCAATGAAACCAGCGACTGATCAGATACAAAGGCAATTGACAATTGTCCTCCACTGCTGCCTCCACTTAGATTTCTGACATGAGCAGATTTGCAAGGATGGTAATTATCCAGGACAATGAAAAGGGGACCCATGGTAGATACAAGAGGTAGGATGGGTTGGAGGAGTCCAATGTCCGTGACAAACTGATGCACATGAGACACCTACTTGTTAGGATTTCAGATTTAAACTTAAGTTCTTTTACTGTTTTCAATATACACCCTAGCTGTGAACTCCTGGCTTCTAGCTTACAGATAGTAACTACAGGTCAAACTAAGATAAATATACCCTCAGGAAAAGACACATTGAAAAGAAAAAGTAACTGAAAATGAGAGTCAAAAACCCAGCCCCAGATTGTCAGTAGACACCTCTGACTATGAATGAGGCAAGGACTGTCCAAGAAAACCGGAGCAGAGATCAAGGCAGGGCTGCTTCAGCAATACACAGGAGGAGCCACCCTCAGGATTTCCCATTGTAAACCATCAGACTATCAATGACTATTGAACAGGAGGAGAAACATGGCTTCTGGGTGCCTTAGTGGATTCAAATGTCCCCAACACACTATCATCCATATGTTCCTGGAGAAATCCAGCTGGAGCGTTGGTGTGAGTGTTGTCTGTAGTGGATTCAAGAGAAAGCTGACCTTATAGTCTTAGGGGTATGTTGAAAAGCAAAACACAGTGAAAACCTCCAAAGGGGGAAAAATGGAGGCTTGGCACTGGGAAACGGCAGACTTTCCATTAGATCTGTGAGTTCCCACCGAGGGAGAAAGAGCAGGAGATAGAAACCCTCAGTAACCCCAGCAGCCAGCTCCACTGAAATCCTCTAACCACTGAACCCTCTTCAGGCATGCTCACACAAGGTTCATACATAAGCATGCAGGTGAACACATACATACAATACATACATACATATGTACACACATCCATACATATGTAATAAAAATAAATCTTAATAAAAAGATTTTCATCCATTGCTAACTGGAATTAAAAACTTAACAAATGACATTATAGTAGTTTATACATAGTAGATGAAAACATATTAGCAACAAAAGTTTATGTTTCTAGGTGAGTCAACAACATCCAGACTGAAGCATGGTGAGCAGCAGTGTAACATTACAACGGAAAGGCCAGGAGTCTCCAAAGCATCAGATTATTCTTGGCTGGACTTTGAGAATAAAAGCTAAGGGACAGGGCGAAGGAAATAGAAACATTTAGAGATACTGGTTGATAACTGTCCAGACTTGATAAAAAGCCACCCGTTCTCAGTCTTGGGAAGCTCGACAACCCCAAATAGGGTAACTATAGAGAAAACGACATCTAAGCACATCACAGGATACTGCTGAAGCCGCAGACAGGAACAGGAGAAGCATTCAAGAATGCCAACGCTCCTGCAGAGGAGCAAGGTTTGGTTCCCAGTACCTACAGCACAGCATAGAGCTGCTTGAAACTTCAGTTCCAGGGGAACGCATTCCCTCTGCTGATGTCCTCAGGCACACACACACGGCACACACACACTCACTCAGGCACACACACACGGTCCACACACATTCACTCAGGCACACACACACGGTCCACACACATTCACTCAGGCACACACACACACGGTACACACACATTCACTCAGGCACACACACACGGTACACTCACATTCACTCAGGCGCACACACACACACACACACACACATAAAATAAAACTTATTCTTTTAAATGTTTCACAGGAAAAGAAGGAGGAAAGTTAATTACAGAAATGGTGAAAACTGGAGATGATGAGAAGGTGCCTTCAAAGTTCTGCAAGAGTTGCGGGTCTAGCACCTCGGTACGCATGGAGACCTCATTGAGACATTTTCAAGGAAATGCGAGACTGAAAAACACTTTGGCCAGCAAAGTCTAAAGGTCGTTTATCAGACAGAAGGAAAAGGATCCCTAAAATAGTGGGCAAAAGTAATGAATGTTCTTACCATAATAATGGTAAAAAGTGTCACTTGCACAAAGGTGGTGTAAATCGAGTGAAAATAGTTCAAGGTATCCTTGCGTA